ATTATTATTATTATTATTATTATTATTTATTTATACCCTGCCCATCTGGCTGGGTTTCCCCAGCCACTCTGGGCGGCTTCCAGCAAAACACTAAAATACAATAAACATTAGAAGCTTCCCTAAACAGGGCTGCCTTCAGATGTCTTCTAAAAGTCTGGTAGTTATTTTTCTCTTTGACATCTGATGGGAGGGCGTTCCACAGGGCGGGTGCCACCACCGAGAAGGCCCTCTGCCTGGTTCCCTGTAACTTGGCTTCTCACCATCAGAAGGCACATGCTGAATTTCTACTGAAAGAGATTTCCACAATACTGGACCAAAAGCACTAAAAGACTCAGTTTCTTGTTGTCTAAGGGGTTTTGCCAACCCAAGGAAAGACCAGCCTTTTGTTGCCTTTGCCAATGTCCAGATCATAGAATTGCAGACCTGGAAGTTGGACGTTTGTGGGGGTTCAGAAAATCACTTTGTGCCCACCCAACACTTCCACCGTTTTATCCCACCGGTGCATTTGAGGACCAGGCATTGGGGAGAGCTGTGGTGGGGTGCTGCAGGAATTTTCTTGGCAGGATGTCCTTTGTGGCTGCCTCAGAGTCCTCATTGCCAATATGTGTCTTTTCCCCTTTGCAGTTTACCCATCGATCTATAAAGACCTGATCTCCATCCTGCAGGCAGACCAGCTGCTCACCTGGGAAGTGCTGAAGGACAAGGTGTTGCAAATAACATTGCACAGGCCTCTCAAACATAGCTCTGTTTTGGATAATCCTCATCATGCCACCAGTCTTCTCAATTGTATCTATGTAATCCAGATTTACATCTGTATTCTAGATTTATGGGACGCGGGTGGCGCTGTGGTCTAAACCACAGAGCCTAGGGCTTGCCGATCAGAAGGTTGGTGGTTTAAATCCACATGACGGGGTGAGCTCCTGTTGCTCGGTGCCTGCTCCTGCCAACCTAGCAGTTCAAAAGCACGTCAAAGTGCAAGTAGATAAATAGGTACCACTCTGGCGGGAAGGTAAACGGTGTTTCCATGTGCTGCTCTGGTTTGCCAGAAGCGGCTTAGTCACGCTGGCCACATGACCTGGAAGCTGTCTGCGGACAAATGCCGCCCCCCCAGCCTATAGAGCGAGATGAACGCCCCAACCCCAGAGTCGGTCATGACTGGACCTAATGGTCAGGGGTCCCTTTATCTTTACCTTTACCTTTAAGCCTCCCAAAAAGTGGCCTTTTTTTGCCTTCAGAGTAGCAGTTTCAAGGAGAAAATTCTGTGCGGATGATAAGCTAAATTCACCAGGGGAGAAAATTTATCTGAAAGAACACCTGGTTTTAATTATTTTAACTGCGTAATGTCTTATATTCTGTTTGGTATATTTTTGTGTATATTGTTTATATGTATTTTTGTAGTGGCTTTGGCTACACAAATAAATGATATCCTTATTTGTACTTTACATGGAACCTGTCTTTTGCCACCATGCAGCCCCTTCCCATTTTTAAAAAAAATGTGGGGTGTTTTATGGCTGAGGGTTTAGGTGTTTTAAATCTCTGGTGGTGAGCTGGTTTCTCTACGTTGCCAGCTTTCGTTCTGTGAAATGGGTATTTTGTAGAGCCCAGATCAGTTCTTGGGCATGATCCCCTGAAAATCCCTCCCACTGAGATAGGAGGCAGTATGGTGTAGTGGTTAGAGGGTTGACCCGGGAGACCTGGGTTCGAATCCCCAATCAACCCTGAAGTTCACCGGTTGTGGCCCTGGGCCAGTTGTTGCCTCTCTGCCTGACCTATCTCACAGGGTTGTTGTGGGGGTTAAATGAGGAGAGGGAGAATTATTTAAGTTCCCAGGAGAAAAAAGGTGGAATAAAAATGCAGTCAATAAATGGAAACAGGGCAGAATTCGCACCAGAGACTTTTGAACTGGGTCATGCCTGCTGCCTGAAATGACTGCTAGGCATAAGAAAGTGAAGAGCTTCTGGGAATTGATATATAATGAATTGAAAAAAAATGTTGAAATATACATTTGTTAAGACACCAGAGGCCTTTCTTCTAGGAATCATAGGAAATGAAATAAATAGAAAGGACTGTAAACTTTTCCAATATGCAGTAACAGCGGCAAGAATATTACTGGCCCAGAAATGGAAACAGGAAGAAGTACCAACATTGGAGGAGTGGAGAATGAAGCTGATGGACTATGCAGAACTTGATAAAATGACAGGGAAGATCAGATACCTACGAGATCAAAAGTTTATCGAGGACTGGGGAAAGCTAGTGGAGTATTGGGGATGTATAAGTGATAATGAAATAACGTTAGTGGCATTTAAAGAAGCTCTGTAAAAACCTAAGAAATATTGTAAGAAAGGAAAACAGGTGGGGAAGGGTATGTTAAAAGGCAATAGAAAATTTAGGAAATGTGTAATTAAAAAGTTTAATTCGGATGATTGTCAGAGAGGCTGAAGGAAGTCCAAAAATGAGAAAATTTGTTAAGTTGCAATGTATATGTATTTTTCTTGATGAAAATTAAGAAAAAATATTAAGAAAAAAGAAGAAAAAAAAGAAATGACTGCTAGGCAGAGAGAGAGTCTTTTGGTCTGAAACAAAGCAGAAACAAATTTATAAGAGCCTTCCCATGGAGGAAAAATATGTCCTTATCACATAAGCCAGCTGAGTTCTGTGGAAGGGAGGAAGTTTTGACTTGTTTTCCTTGGAGTCATTACTGAGCTGCGGGGAGAAAACACGTTTCTCTGTCTGGATCTTAAAGGCAAGAAAGTTTGTTTTTAATCTTTGAGGCCTTTTATCTGTTTCGTTTTGTGGTGGTTTGCAAGCCCTCGCAAAAAACCTCTTCCCACTCTACAGGTACAGAAACTGAGGAAGCGGGAATTAATTCTGTGCCAGAGGTGGAGAATCAAAGCCGGGCTCCTAAATATCTAAATCCCTTTTTTTGGGGGGGGGGTTTGAGAGCCTTATTTGCAAAAGTGAAGGGTGGGGGGGCGCTTCAAGGCCTGCAAACCCCATTTATTCATCTTCCTATCAAGTCTTTTGCAGCATTGTAGAATTGCAGGGTTGGAATCGGGAACCCCAAAGGTCATCCAGACAAACCCTCACAGCTAAAGAATCCCTGACCAACTAACCCTCTGTTAAAAAAAAACCCCAGGGAAGGCGAGTCCACCACCTTCTGAGGTCGTTCGTTCCCTTCTCGAACGGCTCTTGCGCTCAGAAAGTTCATCCTGACGTCAGTTGGAATCTCCTTTCTTGTAATCCGAATCCATTAAGTATGCGGATGATACCCAGCTCTACCTCTCTTTCAAATCAGAACCAGTGAAGGCGGTGAAGGTCCTGTGTGAGTGCCTGGAGGCGGTTGGAGGATGGATGACGGCTAACAGATTGAGGTTGAATCCTGACAAGACAGAAGTACTGTTTTGGGGGGACAGGAGGTGGGCGGGTGTGGAGGACTCCCTGGTCCTGAATGGGGTAACTGTGCCCCTGAAGGACCAGGTGCGTAGCCTGGGAGTCATTTTGGACTCACAGCTGTCCATGGAGGCACAGGTCAATTCTGTGTCCAGGGCGGCTGTCTACCAGCTCCATCTGGTACGCAGGATGAGACCCTCCCTGCCCGCGGACTGTCTCGCCAGAGTGGTGCATGCTCTGGTTGTCTCCCGCTTGGACTACTGCAATGTGTTCTATGTGGGGCTACCTTTGAAGGTGACCCGGAAACTACACTAATCCAGAATGCAGCAGCTATACTGGTGACTGGGAGCAGCCACTGAGACCACATAACACCGGTCTTGAAAGACCTACACTGGCTCCCAGTACGTTTCCGAGCACAATTCAAAGTGTTGGTGTTGACCTTTAAAGCCCTAAACGGCCTTGGTCCAGTATACCTGAAGGAGCGTCTCCACCCCCATTGTTCAGCCCGGACACTGAAGTCCAGCTTCGAGGGCCTTCTGGAGGTTCCCTCCCTGCGAGAAGCCAAGTTGCAGGGAACCAGGTACAGGGCCTTCCCGGTGGTGGCACCTGCCCTGTGGAACGCCCTCCCACCAGATGTAAAAGAGAAAAACAACTACCAAACTTTTAGAAGACATCTGAAGGCAGCCCTGTTTCGGGAAGCACTTAACGTTTAATAGGTTATTGTATTTTTGTGTTCTGTTGGAAGCCGCCCAGAATGTCTGGGGAAACCCAGCCAGATGGGCAGGGTATAAATAATAAATTATTATTATTACATTATTATTATTATTATTATTATTATTATTGCTTTGGCAGAAAACAAGCTTGCTCCATCTTGCACTGGAGATATTTGAAGGTGGCGCTCCCTATTTCCCCTCAGTCTCCTCTTCCCCAGGCTAAACATGCCCAGCTCCTTCAACCGTTCCTCATAAGGCTCTGCTTCCAGGCCCTTTATGGGAGTTGTATTCCAGAAAAATCTGTGGGTTTAAATGGAGTCTACCTCTTCATGTTCCAGAAGTTGGGGCCAGAGCTGGCGAAGGTGGGGTTCTCATGCCTTCGTGTCCTTTTGCAGGATCCTTGGAAGCCCTTTGCCGGAGAGCAGGACTCTGGCCTCCATGGACCCATTTCCTTATAATTATTATTATTATTTATTTTTAAAAATCATTTTTATTGATTTTCCAATAAAAACAGCCAATCAACATATCCGCATCATAACCCAATTAAAATCAAGAAACTAATTTTTTTTAAAGTCCAAATTGTAGTCCAAATTGTAATTATTAATTTTTCCGGGCTCCCCATAGTCTGGACCTCTGAAGCATATCTCCAAATATTCGTTCCTGCCTCTTTCATTGTTTTCATATTTTCCGCCTTCTGGTCTTAACGCTTTAAAGTTCTCCGTCCCTGGCTGTGCGATTCTCAGTCATGTCAAAAATCATATGTCCTTTCATCCATCGAATACAGCTTTATTTGTAAATGGACCCATTTCCTTGACCTTGACCCGGAGCGCGGCTCCTTTAAGACCACGAGCAGCTGGAGATGCCCAAAGCGGCCAGCAGGGGGCGCTGAAGTCCCTATGGGGGCGTTTTGGGGGAGCGGTTTGCTCTTTGCACGTGCTCAGAGGCTGCAATTGCAATTGCAAGGGCTGCTAACGTCGGTAAGTGGCCTGTAATAGCCGGAGGGGATTCTTTGCAAAGCGGGGGGGGGGGGGGAGAGGAAGTATGGTCGGTGGGGTGATTGATTGATTGATTGATTGATTGATTGAATCCCAAAGCGACTTAGAAACAGTAAATAACAATCTCAATACGAAATCATTAACAAATCAGCAATAGAACAATTGCAACCCATAAAACTCTGTTAACAAAGCAGCAGCAACTAAGACAAATAAGCTAAACGTTGCAGCAAAACGAACCTCTGAGCCATTATTCTGGAAGGAAAACCTTATGAATGGGGTTGCCCTGTTACTTCCAGAGTAGCACAAATAGGGTTGCTGTGCTCCTCCTGCAGGAAGCCTGTGCAGTTGCTTGCCTAACAGGTTGCAATCCTCGCATGTGTTGGAGGAAACAATCATTTCATAAAACTCTTTTTTGGGGGATGATTCCGTTTTATTTCCAGTCTGTGTGGCCTAGCCAAGCTCAAAGGCCCTGCAACTGCCTTTTGCAGTACAGAACTAGCTGCTTTTCCTTACTGTGCTGTAAATATTAAACTGTTAGAATCCAGAGAAGCGTCCAGGTGGAAATTTGTTTTTACTTCTTTCCATGTTATTGTGTAGTTATCCTTGAATAGGTTAGTATTTTTCGGGGACAGGCAGACACCCAAGTATTTTCTTTTCTTTACCACTGTTATTTCCGTTTTACTTTGTAACTGATCCAATTGTTCCACATTCATATTTTTTTAGCATTTTTTTGCTTTGTTTTGTTTTTATTAATTTTAAGTCCTGCCATTGATCCGAATGCTTCAATTACTTTTAACGCTTCCACTGTTGAGGATTGTGGTTCCTGTAATGTTAAGGCTATATCATCAGCGAACACTTTGACTTTATATTTTTCTTTTACCCCGCATTTTATTTCTGTAATTTTTTCTGTCTCTCTTATGTTTTATAATAGCACTTCAAGTGTTGATATGAGCAATAGAGGCGACAGTGGGCACCCCTGCCTTGTGCCCTTTGTGATTTGAAAACTCTCTGCCAATCCGTTATTTACTATAAGTTTCGCATTTTGATCTTTATAAATTGCCTCTATACTTCTTAAAAAGTTTATGCCTAGACCCATTTTCTAGATTCTTTTTCATAAAGAACCAAGACACATGATCAAACGCCTTCTCCGCGTCTATAAAAATTAATGCAGCTTGTTTATTTATCTTGGTTTCTAAGTATTCAATTATATTCAATATATTATGCATATTGTCTTTTAAATGGCATCCTAGCAGGGCGTCCAGGTGGAAATTGGCTAAATCTCCGGGAAAATCTGGACTTAAGACGTTGGGTGTTGTTTTTGCTGATTCCTGGCTCAAAAAGGGCAAACAACTTTGGGCAAAGCTAAAAAAAAAACTTGTGATCCTCTGATTGGTGGAATGAAATGGCACATATACAGTGGTACCTCAGGTTACATACACTTCAGGTTACATACGCTTCAGGTTACAGACTCCGCTAACCCAGAAATAGTGCTTCAGGTTAAGAACTTTGCTTCAGGATGAGAACAGAAATCAGGCTCTGGCAGCGCGGCAGCAGCAGGAGGCCCCATTAGCTAAAGTGGTGCTTCGGGTTAAGAACACTTTCAGGTTACGAACGGACCTCCGGAACGAATTAAGTACTTAATCCAAGGTCCCACTGTAATCTGGAAGTGTACAAGAAATGTTGCTTTGGATGCGGTTCTTGCAGCCTCCTTGTTTTTGAGTTTGCCCAGTTGTGTTTTAGCAAAGCCCCACCTTCGGCGCTGTGGGTAAAACCTCAGCGCCTAGGACTTGCCGATCGCATGGTCGGCGATTCGAATCCCCGCGGCGGGGTGCGCTCCCGTCGTTCAGTCCCAGCGCCTGCCAACCTAGCAGTTCGAAAGCACCCCCGGGTGCAAGTAGATAAATAGGGACTGCTTACCAGCGGGACGGTAAACGGCGTTCCGTGTGCTGCGCTGGTTTGCCAGATGCAGCTTGTCACGCTGGCCACGTGACCTGGAAGTGTCTGCGGACAGCGCTGGCTCCCAGCCTACAGACTGAGATGAGCGCACAACCCTAGAGTCTGGCAAGACTGGCCCGTACGGGCAGGGGTACCTTTACCTTTTACCTTGGAGCCCCCATCCTTTAAAAGTTTCTGGGAGAAATCCCTCCAGTCTAGGAACCTCTTTTTAAAGTTCTCCAACACACACATTTTTTAAAAATCGATTTAACAAAAAAATATACACCGCTTGATTGGAATAAAACCACTGGGCGGATTACAAGGACTATTAAAACTAACTGTTAAAAGCAGTTTTAAATGTTTTAAGGATAATTAACAGTAAAAGAGGTGAAATTGTAGCTCTGTGAGGTCAAGGAGACTCTTAAGCAAACCATAGTTCCGGTATTCTATGGGGGAAGTCATGGCTAAGATTTTTAAAAAAACTTTATTGTTTTAAAATAGATACATTTATTCCAGGAAAGCAAACAAACCAACAGACAACCATACAATTAAATAAACTTTAAACAAACTATAAATTGACAAACAAACAGAATACTTAAAAAATTACGATATAAAAGGAAACTTCTTGGCAGAATTAGACTGAACCTTGCTATTAGACTTACAGCACTATATAAGTACTAAATATAAGTACTATATTTATACAATGAAACTATATAAGAAATATGTAACTCTGCGGTATAAGATAATCAACAGCTAAAGTACAGCGAGACTAATTGGAATTCATTTTTAATTTCTTGTTTTACAAGTTTTACAATCGTTCACATCATTGGGAGTACAAAGGATGTTAGTTATAAGAACTGTGTTGTTTCATATATTGCTACTGTCTGTTGGCTAAGATTATTTTAAATGTTTGGTGTGGATCTGACCTACTCAGAAGTAAGACCTGCTGAGTTTGGTAGAGGGCTTGTTGTTGTTGGTTAGTCGTTTAGCCGTGTCCAACTCTTTGTGGACCCCCTGGACCAGAGCACGCCAGGCACTCCTGTCTTCCACTGCCTCCCGCAGTTTGGTCAGACTCATGTTTGTAGCTTCAAGAACACTGTCCAACCATCTCGTCCTCTGTCGTCCCCTTAGATAGAGGGTAGAGGGCTTACTCTCCAGTAAACGGAAGATTGGGGCTTCAGTGATTTTTGGCTTTGGGTAGCCTCAGTCCTCAGTTTGCTCTCCCCGAGAGAAGCCCCAACAAGATGAATTGGGTTACTCCTGAACAAGTGCCTTGTGTATTGCAGCCATTTTCGGTGCCTGTGTCTCGGATCTGCCCCTTTTCACTGCAAATTAAGGGCGGGGCATTTATATCCCACCTGGGATAAAGCTGAGGAGCCAATTCTGCTTGCCTGACGGTTGCTTTTAAATGCAAGCAAGAGCTCTTGCTGTTTGACTCTTTGGATTCCAGTGGATTGGGGCCTCCATTTCATGAACCTCAAGTAAGTACTTGCAGCACTCTCCTGAGTGCTTGCTAGGCTCTGACCCCAGTTGAGAAAGAGTGGACGAGAAAGAGAGGCCAGAGATCACTTCAAATGGTCGGGTGCATTTCATGGCTCTGAAATTTGAGCGTAAAATCCCAGCAAATAAGCGTAAAAGCCTTCCTTGGCTGTTCGGCAGTAGACCAGGGCTCAGCAAACGTTTTCAGCAGGGGGCTGGTCCACTGTCCCTCGGACCTTGTGGGGGGCCGGACTATATTTTTTTTGGAGGGGGGAAATGAACAAATTCCTATGCCCCACAAATAACCCAGAGATGCATTTAAAATAAAAGGACACATTCTACTCGTGTAAAAACACGCTGATTCCCGGACCGTCCGCGGGCCGGATTGAGAAGGCAATTGGGCCGGATCTGGCCTCTGGGCCTTAGTTTGCCTACCCATGGTGTAGACCTTGCACTTAAAAAGAAAATACCTTGATGAGTCTCTGTCTCGCAGCCTGACCTACTTCACAGGGTTGTTGTGCATGCAAAATTAGGAAATCCTTACATTTTCCACCCTGAGCTTTCTTGGAGGAGCTTCCCCAGCCACTCTGGGCGGCTTCCAATCGAGTGTTAAAAACAATACAGCATTAAATATTAAAAACTTCCCTAAACAGGGCTGCCTTCATATGTCTTTTAAAGATAAGATAGCTGCTTATTTCCTTCACATCTGGTGGAAGGGCGTTCCACAGGGAGGGCGCCACCACCGAGAAGGCCCTCTGCCTAGTTCCCTGTAGTTTTGCTTCTCGCAGTGAGGGAACCGCCAGAAGGCCCTCGGCACTGGACCTCAGTGTCTGGGCAGAACGATGGGGGTGGAGACGCTTCTTCAGGTATACAGGACTGAGGCCGTTTAGGGCTTTAAAGGTCAGCACCAACACTTTGAATTGTGCTCGGAAACGTACTGGGAGCCAGTGTAAGTCTTTCAAGACCGGTGTTATGTGGTCTCAGCGGCCGCCCCCAGTCACCAGTCTAGCTGCCGCATTCTGGATTAGTAGTAGCTTCTGGGTCACCTTTAAAGGTAGCCCCACATAGAGCGTATTGCCGTAGTCCAAGCGGGAGATAACCAGAGCATGCACCACTCTGGCGAGACAGTCTGCAGGCAGGGAGGGTCTCATCCTGCGTACCAGGTGGAGCTGGTAGACAGCTGCCCTGGACACAGAATTAACATGCACCTTAATGGACAGCTGTGAGTCCAGAATGACTCCCAGGCTGCGCACCTGGTCCTTTAGGGGCACAGTTACCCCATTCAGGACCAGGGAGTCCTCCACACCCGCCCGCCCCCTGTCCCCCCAAAACAGACCTTCTGTCTTGTCAGGATTCAACCTCCATCTGTTAGCCGCCATCCAACCTCCAACCGCCTCCAGGCACTCACACAGGACCTTCACTGCCTTCACTGGTTCTGATTTGAAAGAGAGGTAGAGCTGGGTATCATCCACATACTGATGAACACCCAGCCCAAACCTCCTGATAAATGACAGAATAAAAACAACAACCATCTTATTCACTCCAGGGGCTAAATGGCCCCATGGTCCTTTCCAACTTTACAATTCTATGACTCCAATAATCCCCCTTCCTTCCCCTTTGATTCACACAGCCCTCCAGCCACGTATTACGATCGCTGGGACATCAGAAAGTGCCAGGTGGAGCTGGTAGATTGTACCAGTGCAATCTGGGCGGGCGAGTCTTTCTCTTCTCTTCTCCGGCAGGCGCAAGGCTACTCTCGGCCGGAAGACTCGAACCATGCCGACGTTCAGTTCGAAAGAGGCTCACCAGCTCCTGCACAACAAGTTCGTGGTCATCCTGGGCGACTCAAGTGAGTGAGTCAGTTCTTCTGGAGGAGGTGAGGCAGGAGGGTTGGGCTAGATGAACTCTGGGGACCCCGTTCAGCTTCTGCCAGGAAGGGTGGAATGGAGAAAGGGGGGGGGAGAGAGGAAAGCTTCTCTCCCTCTCTCGTAACGCTGGTGGACATCCAGTGAAGCGGATTCAGGGCAGATGAAAAAGACAGTCCGTTGTGCGGCGCGTGGTTAAACTCTGGAACTCCCTGCCACAGGAGGGATGAAGAGGATTGGGCAAACTCATGGAGGAGAAGAGAACTAGCCGTGGCTATTAGCCAGGATGGCTATGCTCTGCTGTCCACAGTCGGAGGCAGCTAAGCTTTTGAATTTCAATTGCTGGAAACCACAGGAGGGGAGAGGGATCTTGTGTTCGGATCCTGCTCAGGGGGTTCCCACTGGGGCATATGCTCGGCTGCTGTGTGATGCTAGACTAGATGGACCATGGGCCTGATCCAGGAGGCACATCTTATGTTTGCATGTGCAGCACCTCTCCTGTACTTGGATCAAGGGGAAGGTAAGGTAAGGTAAAGGGTAAAGAGACCCCTGACCATTTGGTCCAGTCGTGGCCGACTCTGGGGTTGCGGCGCTCATCTTGCTTTATTGGCTGAGGGAGCTGGCGTACAGCTTCCGGGTCATGTGGCCAGCATGACTAAGCCGCTTCTGGCGAACCAGAGCAGCGCACGGAAACTCCGTTTACCTTCCTGCCAGAGCGGTACCTATTTACCTACTTGCACTTTGACGTGCTTTCGAACTACTAGGTGGGCAGGAGCAGGGACCGAGCAACGGGAGCTCACCCCGTCACGGGGATTTGAACCGCCGACCTTCTGATCGGCAAGTCCTAGGCTCTGTGGTCTAACCCACAGCGCCACCTGCGTCCTGGAGGGAAGGTAAAGGCGGGGGCTAATTCTCCCTCCTTGTTGTGTTTCCTCCTCCTCTTGCAGTCCAGCGATGTGTGTACAAGGATCTGGTCCAGCTGCTGCAGAGCGACTCCTTGCTCACGGCTTCCCAGCTGAAGTCCAAGGTAGCCGACGGAGGCCGTTCCACACCAGGGGGTGGGGGTGAGGAAGTGACGCCTGCCGTATTCCCCAGGGCTGGTCCGAAATACCTGGCTTGGGTCCAAACTTTCTGAGAGACTGTATCCCCTCATACAAATCCGCCCAAGTCTGGAGATGTTTGAGGGAGGCCCTTCTCTCGGTCCTGCCACCTTCACAGGCAGGCTTGGTGGGGATGCGGGGCAGGGCCTTCTCTGTGGTGGCTCCTTCCAGTCTTTGGAACTCTTTTCCTAGAGGAGCCAGACTGGTTCCCTCCTCGTCGTCCTTCCACCATCAGGCAAAGACCTTGTTCCAACAGGGAACTGACTGCTTCTACTGAATGGTGCTGTTCTTTTTGTAATTATCTGCATTGGGGCAGGCATAAGCAAACTCGGCCCTCCAGATGTTTTGGGACTACAACTCCCATCATCCCCGACCACTGGTCCTGCTAGCTAGGGATGATGGGAGTTGTAGTCCCAAAACATCTGGAGGGCCGAGTTTGCCTAGGCCTGCATTGGGGCATCTGGTCAGCCGCTTCAAGAACAGGATGCTGGACCAGGTGGGCCATTGGCCTGATGATTATTAGCTGAACTGGGTTCCATACCATCACAAAAACAAATGAACCGAGAAAGCCTCAAAAAGCAAAAGCACAAAATAGACAGCAAAAACAAAAGTGCCAAACTTACTCCGTTCTGGAAGTTCATTTGACTTCTGAAATGTTCAAAAACCAAGGTGTACCATCCTCCAGTCAACATAATAACCCCTTACTTGTCCAACATGTGGTATGAGGAACATCTGCAGCACCGCTGCCACCGCCATCTTGCGCCCCAGCCCCACAATCTTCATATATATATATATATATATATATATATATATATATGTTTTTTAACGTATCATTTTCAACAATAATTACCGTATTTTTCTCTCGTATTACACGCTGATTTTTTCTCCTAAAAAGGAAGGGGAAATGTCTGTGCGTGTTATGGAGCGAATGTGGGGGGGTCCCTGGAGCCGATTAGGGGAGCGCAGGAACAAAAATCAGCAAAAATCAATCCTGCGTTGTGTCGGAGAGGGAAACCTGAAAAGAGGAAGTGGTTGCTTTCCTGCCTTCTGCCTCAGGGTCTTACTGCCCACCCTCCTCTGTTTCCTTGCTGTGTTTGCTCAAACGGAACAAAGAGCAGGCAAATCCCCTCCCCTCCAGGCAAGCATTCCTCTCCGTGCTCCTCGCAGGCAGCCAGAAAACATGCAGGAGGAGAGAGAGAGCTGACTTCGGTTTGGGGAAACTTTTGCCTTTCTTTCCTCCCTCCCGTTAAATCCCTCTCCTGCTTTCTTAGCCAGCTGCTTCTCTGCACACCGCTCTCTTGTCCCTTCTGTGTTTTTCCTTCACTCCCCACTTAAAATGTAGTTACAAAGCATGGATCCACATGGATCCTCAGGATCTTTGCATTGGCCCACCCCAAATTCACCATCAGATCACATAGCAGCCTGCCCCCCAAAAATCACACACCCACTGTTGCCTGGGGCTGCAATGGTGCAAAAACGTGGTTACAAAGCATGGATCCACATGGATCCTCAGGATCTTTGCATTGGGCCACCCCAAATTCACCATCAGATCACATAGCAGCCTGCCCCCCCAAAATCACACACCCACTGTTGCCTGGGGCTGCAAAGGTGCAAAAATGTGGTTAAAAAGCATGGATCCACGTGGATCCTCAGGATCTTTGCATTGGGCCACCCCAAATTCACCATCAGATCACATAGCAGCCTGCCCCCCCAAAATCACACACCCACTGTTGCCTGGGGCTGCAATGGTGCAAAAACGTGGTTAAAAAGCATGGATCCACATGGATCCTCAGGATCTTTGCATTGGGCCACCCCAAATTCACCATCAGATCACATAGCAGCCTGCCCCCCAAAAATCACACACCCACTGTTGCCTGGGGCTGCAATGGTGCAAAAATGTGGTTAAAAAGCATGAATCCACATGGATCCTCAGGATCTTTGCATTGAGCTACCCCAAATTCACCATCAGATCACATGTCTGTGGCCACAGCATGAAGCACAAAAATGATACATCCACTGTTTCATTCAGAATTTTTTCCCTTGTTTTCCTCCTCTAAAAACGATGTGCGTGTTATGGTCAGGTGCGTGTTATAGAGCGAAAAATACGGTAAACATACTTTTATATCTTGTACTGTTTTTTGACTTCCATCAATCACATCTGAAGATTTTCCAATCTATTCACTTAATTTACATTTCTTACTTTATTACATTTAAATTTCATAACTAATATCTCTAATCTTTCTCTGCTTTGCAATGTTTCATATATTTCTCCTTACAAAACTTCTTGTGGTCCTATTAGCATAATTTGTTGATTACAGTTGCTCTTCAAATAATTCGTATACTTCTTCCAATCTTCTGTAAATCTCTGGTCCTGCAGGTTTCGAATCCTTCCTGTCATTTTAGCTAATTCTGCGTAGTCCATTAATTTCGTCTGCCATTCTTCTTTTGTCGGAATTTCTTCTTGCTTCCATTTCTGGGCTAACGATACTCTTGCCGCTGTTGTTGCATATAAAAACAATTTAACGTCTTGTCTATTAATATCCTCACCTATAATACCAAGTAAAAATGCTTCTGGTTCTTTTTAAAAAATGTATATTGCAACATCTTTTTCGACTCATTATATATCATTTCCCAGAAGTTTTTTACTTTCGTACATTCCCACCACATATGATAAAATGTTCCTTCTTTTTCTTTACATTTCCAACATTTATTAATTATCTTATACATTTTAACTCATTTCACAGGTGTAATATACCATCTATACATCATTTTCATCATATTCTCTTTCAAGTCATTACAAGCTGTAAATTTATTCTTTCTTTCCACAACCTCTCCCATTTTTTTTTGTTAAAAGCTTTATGTTTATTTTTCCAGTGCTCATATGTAACCAACCCCCACCCCACCCCAAAAATATACAGTGGTGCCTCAGAACAAAAAAAATTCCTTCCAGTAGCACCTTAAAGACCAACTAAGTTAGTTCTTGGTATGAGCTTTCGTGTGCATGCACACTTCTTCAGATACACACATGTGTATCTGAAGATACATGTGTGTATCTGAAGAAGTGTGCATGCACACGAAAGCTCATACCAAGAACTAACTTAGTTGGTCTTTAAGGTGCTACTGGAAGGAATTTTTTTTGTTTTGACTATGGCAGACCAACACGGCTACCTATCTGTAAGTGGTACCTCAGGTTACATACGCTTCAGGTTACAGACTCCGCTAACTCAGAAATAATGCTTCAGGTTAAGAAATAATGCTTCAGGTTGAGAACAGAAATCGTGCTCTGGCGGCATGGTGTCAGCAGGAGGCCCCATTAGCTAAAGTGGTGCTTCAGGTTAAGAACAGTTTCAGGTTAAGTACAGACCTCCAGAACGAATTAAGTACTTAACCCGAGGTACCACTGTATAAGAACAAACCTCAGCAAAGAGATGCCACTTGATGAGAATATCTGATGAGCACATAAAAATGCAAGATGAGTGAGATGGCATTATAACACTTATCAGTTCACTCAAGGAACTATTGTAAGTCAAGGACTCTGGTACCTCAGGTGTATATTTACTCCCTGCCTGAGGTATGTTAAATAATTGTTCCCAACAGTTTATTTTAGGGATCAATCCAAACCTCACAAAGCAAGGCTGAAATTAAAGTTCTAATAGATCCTCTCAAAGTCCAGAAAAAAACAGTCTTCTCCCTGGGCAAAAGTGTTAGTTTAGAAGGAATTTGAGAACCTAGAATCAACTAGGTAAAGATGAGTATTAAGGCTTCCTCAACAGAAGCAGGCCCATATAGTTAAAGCTATGGTTTTCCCAGTAGTGATGTATGGAAGTGAGAGCTGGACCACAAAGAAGGCTGATCGCCGAAGAATTGATGCTTTTGAATTCTGGTGATGGAGGAGACTCTTGAGAGACCCATGGACTGTAAGAAGATCAAACCTCTCCATTCTGAAGGAAATCAGCCCTGAGTGCTCACTGGAAGGACAGATCCTGAGGCTGAGGTTCCAAGACTTTGGCCACCTCATGAGAAGAGAAGACTCCCTGGGAAAGACCCTGATGCTGGGAAAGGTGGAGGGCACAAGGAGAAGGGGACGACAGAGGATGAGATGGTTGGATGGTGTTCTTGAAGCAACCAGCATGAGTTTGACCAAACTGCGGGAGGCAGTGGAAGACAGGAGGGCCTGGCGTGCTCTGGTCCATGGGGTCACGAAGAGTCGGACACAACTAAACGACTAAACAACAACAATGTACATTTGAATTCCTCAACACATCCCTCTATCTGGGAATTCTACACGGGAGTTCAAATGCAAGTTTACAGGTGGGGAGGTGGAGCCTGCCGTCTCCCCACCCATGACTGAACATGCACATTGAATTATGGGATGGGGCTAAAGTTTCCCAGGACTCACGCTCTTGTCTTCAGAGTGATGCTCGTGCGAGTTGGATTCCTTTGTGTATTGTACAACATCAGAGGATGGACAGGCAGGTTCTAAATCTTTCACGCCTTGCGTCTCACACCCTTAGGGTCCTCAGACAGAGTGACAAGGGATTGGGTTACAGATAGGTAGCCGTGTTGGTCTGCCATAGTCAAAACAAAACAAAAAATTCCTTCCAGTAGCACCTTAAAGACCAACTAAGTTAGTTCTTGGTATGAGCTTTCGTGTGCATGCACACGAAAGCTCATACGAAGAACTAACTTAGTTGGTCTTTAAGGTGCTACTGGAAGGGATTGGGTGCTATGCCTGGGTCCAGTCACATTTTCAGTTTGGCCTGCTGTCCATTGACAGTTTGGCCTGCTGTCCATTGGCCAACATCACAGGATAATAATAATAATAATAATAATAATAATAATAATAATAATAATAATTTATTATTTATACCCCGCCCATCTGGCTGGGTTTCCCCAGTCACTCTGCGCGGCTTCCAACAAAACACTAAAATACAGTAACCTAGTAAACATTAAAAGCTTCCCTAAACAGGGCTGCCTTCAGATGTCTTCTAAAAGTTTAGTAGTTATTTTTCTCTTTGACATCTGATGGGGGACGTTCCACAAGGCGGGCGCCAGCACCTAGAAGGCCCTTTGCCTGGTTCCCTGTAACTTGGCTTCTAGCAAGGAGGGAACCACCAGAAGGCCCTTGGAGCTGGACCTCAGTGTCCGGGCAGAATGATGGAGGTGGAGACATGCCTTCAGGTATATAGTACCAACTGGATCTTTGAAATATCCCAGGCGGATGGGACAAGTCATTGCATCAGTAAGCTCCTTAAGAGGTCCCTCAGTTGCCATCCTTACTTCTCCAGTTAAACACCACCAAGAAATACTGGAATCCAGACAAAGATTGCACCCACACATTTAAAGCACTTTACTTTCTGTAAAGAACCTTGGGAACTGCACCTTGTCCCTTAATGGTAAAGGGATTCCCTGACCATTAGGTCCAGTCGTGGCCAACACTGTGGTTGCGGTGCTCATCTCGCTTTACTGGCCAAGGGAGCCGGCGTACAGTTTCCGGGTCATGTGGCCAGCAGGACTAAGCCACTTCTGGCGGACCAGAGCAGAGCACGGAAACGCCGTTTACCTTCCTGCCAGAGTGGTACCTATTTATCTACTTGCACTTTGATGTGCTTTCGAATTGCTAGGTTGGCAGGAGCAGGGACCGAGCAACGGGAGCTCACCCCGTCGTGGGGCTTCGAACCGCTGACCCTCTGATCGGCAAGCCCTAGGCTCTGTGGTTTAGACCACAGCACCACCCGCGTCCCTAGCTTGTCCCTTATGGAGCTACAATTCCCAGCATGAACCTCTCCCATTATTTAAGTTGTATGTTATATCCAACCTGCCCCACAATCTTCTGACTGCTTTCTGTCTCCCCTTCACCCCCATCTGCAGGGGGAGCTGCGCTTCGAAGACGACCACCTGGTGGAAGGAGGGGTGCTGGGCTCCCTCCACAATGGCACCCGTTACCGCGAGGTGCGCCAGTATCGTACCGGCCACCACCTTGTCCGCTTCTACTTCCTCACGCGCGTCTACTCGGAGTACGTGGAGAGCATTCTGGAAGATTTCCAAGCCGGACCGAAACCGGATGTCTTGGTCCTCAACTCCTGCGTCTGGGACGTTTCTAGGTAGCTCTGTGGACCCGCCGACAGAGTTGCATTTATTGCGATGTTATTGTAGGTGGTGCGTGCTGGGACAGCTCAGTCAGTAGAGCATGAGAATCTTAATCTCCGGGTTGCGGGTTCGAGCCCTGCATTGGACAGAAGATTCCTGCGCATAGCTGTCAACGTTTCCCTTTTTAAAAAGGGAAATTCCCTTATTCCGAATAGGATTCCTCACAAGAAAAGGGAAAAGTTGACAGCCATGTTCCTGCGTTAGAGGGGGGTTGGAATAGATGACCCTCGAGGTCCCTTCGAACTCTGGGATTCCACAACTCTATTATGTATATTCCTCCCTTTCCCTATAAGCCACTGGGCATTTTTCAAGAAGGCAGATGGGCGAAAATCCATAAAATAGCGCAGTTCTTTAGAAACATGGGGGGAATCGCTGAATAGCAATTGCCAGCAGTAGCAGCAGGGACGAAGCGGTCTCTTCCTATTCTTCCAAATTCATTAATTTTATTTTATTATTTTTCAATACTTTTATTTTGCTTTAAACAAATACAGATAAATATAAACAACCAAAATCGCAAAAGAAAAATCCTTAATATTAATAATAATAATGGAAAAAGCTAAAAGAAACTAAAAAATATATCAAAGTACACAGCATAGAACATATTTGTGGGGCCTGCCTGGTGTTTTTACATGAGTAGAATGTGTGCTTTTATTTAAAATGCATCTCCGGGTTATTTGTGGGGCATAGGAATTCGTTCATTCCCCCCCCAAAAAAAAATATAGTCCCGGTCCCCAACAAGGTCTGAGGGACAGTGGACCGGCCCACAGCTGAAAATGTTTGCTGACCCCTGATATAAGAAAACCAGAAGGAAGAGGGAGAAAAGATGTTATATAATTGTAAAAAATTGAAAAAGCAATAAAAAATTATAGATAGATAGATGATAGATAGATAGATAGATAGATAGATAGATAGATAGATAGATAGATATAGATGGATAGATGATAGATATGGATAGATAGATATGGATAGATATAGATAGATAGATAGATAGATAGATAGATAGATAGATGATAGATAGATAGATATGGATAGATAGATATAGATAGATGATAGATAGATAGATAGATAGATAGATATAGATAGATGATAGATAGATAGATGATAGATAGATAGATGATAGATAGATAGATAGATAGATAGATGAGGGAGGGAGGGAGGGAAGGAAGGAAAGAAAGAAAAAGAAAGAAAGAAAAATAGATGATAGATAGACAGACAGACAGACAGACAGACAGATGATAAATAGGAAGGAGAGGGAGGGAGGGATAGAAGGAAGGAAGGAAGGAAGGAAGGAAGGGGAAGGAAGGAAGAGAAAGGAAGGAAGAGAAAGGAAGGAAGAGAAAGAAAGAGAAAGAAAGAGAAAGAAAGAGAAAGAAAGAGAAAGAAAGAAAGCTTGAGGAAGATGTGGTAGGTGGATCTCAGTTTTGTCCCAGGAACAAAAAATTGAAAAAGCAATAAAAAATTATAGATAGATAGATAGATAGATAGATAGATAGATAGAAGTGGTACTCTCCAGCCTGATCCCTGAAATCTCCTGGCTCGGCCAAGGGGTCTCCGCTGTGGCCTGACACTGGTGCTGTCCTCTACTCTCTGAGCAGGTACGGCCCGTCCTCCATGAAGGCATATCGCAAGAACCTGGAGACGGTCTTCAACCGGCTGGACGCTGTCCTCCCAGCCTCCTGTTTGGTCATCTGGAACATGACCATGCCTCTAGGGCCCCGGGTGACAGGGGGCTTCCTTATTCCAGAGGTAAGGGGAGGCAGGAATGCGCTTCCGGGTTCTGGGATGGGGTCCACTGTAGTGTGAGAACAGACTATGATGGCTACGATCTGCTCCCACAGTCAGGGGAAAAACAATGCTGTCCAGGGTTGTAAAGACTGCGGAGATAATAATTGGGTGCACTCTCGCATCTTGAATCAGCTGCAGAGATAGCGCAGGATAGTGCGCACCCCGGAAATGATCTCTTTCAGCTTCTGCCTTCTGGAAGAAGGTCCAGGGTTATAAAGACTAGGACTAGCCGTCTGAGAAACAGTTTCTACCCAAATGCGATTTTGGTTTTAAATGCAGTGTAAGGTAGTCTCTATGGGAGACTAGGGCCCTGCAGGATTTAACCTCCTTCCACAGGGCCTGTAAGACAGAGCTATTCCGCCTGGCCTTTAATTTGAATTCAGCCTGATCTTTTATTCCCTTCTCTTCCCTCCCCCTCCCCTTTTATGGAGATCACCCGCCCTGAGACCCCACAGCTAATTCTCCCCTGGCCTCCTTGCTGGCCCAAGTAGGACCAATTCAGCCAGCTAGCCCTGGGGATTATCTAATTTTTATTGGATGGCTTTCCCCCAAATTGATTTTGAACTTAGAATTTTATTGTTATTCATGCTTTTATACTGTATTTTATGCTGCTTCTATGTTGTATTACAATTAAGTCTTTAAAATTTGTTGTTAGCCGCCCTGAGCCCAGTTTTCTGAACCGGTAAGGGCAGGCTATAAATAAAATATTATTATTATTATTATTATTATTATTATTATTATTATTATTATTATTTATATAAACCACTGATCCTCTTGGGCTGGCCGATCAGAAGGTCGGCAGTTCGAATCCCCGCAATGGGGTGAGCTCCCGTTACTCGGTCCCTGCTTCTGCCAACCTAGCAGTTTGAAAGCACCTCAAAGTGCAAGTAGATAAATAGGTACCGCTCCAGCGGGAAGGTAAATGGCATTTCTGTGCGCTGCTCTGGTTTCGCCAGAAGCGGCTGAGTCCTGCTGGCCACATGACCTGGAAAAACTGTCTGCGGTCAAACACCGGCTCCCTAGGCCAGTAAATTGAGATGAGTGCCGCAACCCCAGAGTCGTCTGTGACTGGACTTAACTGTCAGGGGTCCTTTACCTTTACATTTTTGTACCCAGCTGCAGCACTTAAGCAAGACCCTCCGCAACGACATAATCGAGGGCAACTTCTACGGCGCCACTTTGGCCGGCTTCCACCTCTTCGACGTCTTGGACCTCCACTTCCACTTCCGCTTTGACCTGCGGAACCGGGTCAAGGACGGCGTCCATTGGAACAACGTGGTGCATCGCAGGATCACCAACCTGCTTCTGACGCATGTGGCGGATGCCTGGCGCGTGGTGGTGCCAAGCAGGCGCCGGAGCCCGGATGGTGAGTGGGCAGGATCCCAACTCGCTTCTGGCTCTTTCCACTGCAGGGAAGGGAGGTTGGCGACGTCTCCAGGATGCAATTTGCAGTTTGCATTTCTTTTTTTTTTTTTTTTATAAAATTTTTATTTGGTTTTCTGGTTTTATAAAGACAAAACATACACAAAGAGAAGAAAAAGACAAAAACATGTATAAAATCAACCAATCCCCGTTTCATAAACTTGTTCCCTGACTTCCCCCACCTCCCCTCGTGCATCCCAGTTTCAAGCTTATATCAGCAAGTTGGTATTTCTCCTCTTAACAATGTTATTCATCACCTTATTTTATAATAAAAATTAATTTTCCTAAGTTGGACTTAAGTTCTCTTCCATCGATTTTCATTTTATCTTAATTAAGAGTCATATTAACCAAACCTAAAAGTCTTAAGAGTTTTTAAGAGTCTCTTCATCCCTCCCTCCCATCCCCGGTTTTTGTCCCTTCCCAATAAAAGTCCAAATTCGAATTTCTCAGCCTGGGTTCCTCACGTCCGAGGCTTTCAAATCCCTTTCAGTCCCTCTCCGCCTGTCCCGTTGGTAGTCCTTTATGTCAGTCATCAAGTCTGGGAAAAGTTCTTTCACCATCAAAGTGTTTCCTCTTCCCACAAGGGGGTTCAAAAGTAACTGCTGAAGAATTTCCACAAAGCCTATCTCTTCAAGATCAAAGTCCAAACGGAGGCCCCAAGCATATTTCTTTATTTTAAATTTCTGTGTTCCATTTTGTCCCGGGACCTCCTCCTTCTTCTTCTGTATCTTTCGCAGACTTGTAGTAGATATGTTCCCAGCGTTTCCTTGCTTATGTTCCGCAGATGTCAACTTTTGGTTGTTACTTCCCAGGATTACTTCTTCTTTTTCTTGTTGTTTAGTCTCTTCCAACTCTGTAGGTATTGTTTCCCATTCAGCTGTGAATTCTTTCTCGTTGAGGTCCTCAATACAAAGAGCAGAGTTGCCTGTTCCCAAGGTCATAGTCTCAAGCTGTTTATTCATGGCCAAGCTCTGCTCTTGTAAAGTTCCCACCAATTGAAACATCCTTTCAATTTCCACCAGTAACTTTCCTTCCACAGCCATTGTATCCATTGTAGTTTCACAGAATTCCCCCTAGGGGGAATCTGGTTACTTATTAGCCTTTTCACCAACAATCCTTTCACTGATTATTATTACTTTGTTTCCAACGATTTTAGCTCAATTGTAACTCGTCTTAGTCAAGAGATGACAATTTTTGCACTTTAAACCGACCGTTTGGCAGCTTTGACAGCTGTCAAACTCCACAGCTCTTACACAGGCACCGAGGCAGGATGTTCCCGGGCCCGGAGGGGGGGTTGTTTGAAGCAAAAAGAAAGTTCCCAAAACTCCACTCTCCAGCCCAAAATTTCCTTTAGTTAAATCTTAGAAGTTAATGTCCTTTTTAACTCACCCCACCAGGGGTAGGCTCTCCAGCTTAGCTCTTATGCCGTTGCTTAGGTCGTCTGCAAGAGGGGGGGTGCGGACTTCCTTTTAGCACACCCCCCGATCGTCTCCAATTCAAGGTAAAATTTTTATATAGTCCCAATCCGTCTTACTCACGGGTAATTCTTTCAGTCCAAATTTTCAAGGAAGGAAGTCAGCGCTCTCTGGTCCTGGCTCGCGGCTTCACTCCACCGAGGTAGCGATCGACTCTCAGTGCCACGCCACCCCCGTATCCCCTCCGCAGCCTTTAAAAAGGCTCTTTGCGAATCAGGGGGGGCGCTTAAGGCACCCGCCGAGTCTTCAGTCCGCAGGCTTCCGCGCCTGCGGTTTTTAAGGGTCCCCGCGTCGCCGGCGCGGCAAAGACCCATCCTCAGTGGAGCCGGTTCCCTCCGGAGCTCGGAGGGAATCCGCCATTTCCAGATCGCGTCAACCCGGAAGTCCCTGCAGTTTGCATTTCTTAGTGCAGAAAGCATTGATCTGATGTGTAGAGATCTTTCCTATTCTAATGGATTCAAGAGGGTTCTGGGAGCTTCTCTGTGTGAAAGAAGCAAGCAGAAGGTTCATGATATTCGGGTTATTCCTTCCGAGAAGCTGAGTACAGCTGGCTTCAACTGCTCTATTATCTCTTCTGTCAAGGTCATGCTGACTATAATAATAAGCGCAAAACAACAACAAACCTCTGGTTACGTGAAACATATTCAATAAATACAAATGACGTAATCGGCTGTACGTTTGAAAAAATAAGATATACTATTCATTGTATTAGGGGACGCGAGTGGCGCTGTGGATTAAACCACAGAGCCTAGGGCTTGCCGATTAGAAGGTTGGCAGTTCGAATCCCCGCGACGGGGTGAGCTCCCATTGCTCGGTCCCTGCTCCTGCCAACCTAGCAGTTTGAAAGCACATCAAAGTGCAAGTAGATAAATAGGTACCGCTCTGGCGGGAAGGAAAGTAAACGGCGTTTCCATGTGCTGCTCTGGTTCACCAGAAGCGGCTTAGTCATACTGGCCACATGACCCGGACCATATATGTGAAAGTGTCTATTCCACCTGTCTGTTCATAAAGTCCAACAATCCACACGAAAGGTTGTTGCAGTTCCACAGAATCCTTTCACAGAGTCTAAAGACAAGGATTTCCGGAATATTAGCCTTGTTTCGCTGTCCTGGGCTTCATCAGTAGTACAAACTCTAGGTAACGCAAATAAATACAATATCGTAATCTCACACATTTTTACAGCAAAAATAATATAAAAACTGTCAACAACCGTACATATATGATATCACAGGACAGAGGATCTTATAGCATGGTAGTAGCTGCTGTTAGAAGCAACTTTTACAGAGTAGAGGTATATGGACAAGCACCATATTGATTAGAGTAACAGGTGTTGTCAATCAACAGGTACAAAATTTCTTTCTTAAAATGACCCATATGGACTCTATGAACAGACAGGTGGAATAGACACTTTCACATATATGGACCTTATGCATAAACTGATTAGAGAATGAACTGATCCACTGGGTATTCTATTTTTTTCATTGAACTTCATGAGTTATTTCTGTTGAAATCTACAATTCAATACAATGAATAGTATATCTTATTTTTTCAAACGTACAGCCGGTTATGTTTTGTGTGTTTATTGACTATAATAACAAGGCTAGAAGGAGCATGGGTTTCACTTTCTCTTTTTGTCTCTCTTTCCTTCTGGTGTGGTGTTCTGTATACGGTGATACCTTGGTTGTCGAACGGCTTAGCTCCCGAACAAATCGGCTCCCAAACGCCACAAACCCTGCAGCCAATCGGAAGCTGTGCCTTGGTTTCCGAATGGTTCCGGGAGTTGAACGGATTAAGTTTGACAAACAAGGTACCACTGTGAAGGTTTTAGTCTTATTATACGTTATTGTAAGTTTTAAGTTAAGTCTGCTGCAACTGGACTTCTTACGGACAGTGCCAGTCTTGAATGTATTGGATTTGTGACCATTATGCTCATTTGCCTTCAGTAGCAGCAAAGCTCTGCTGGATGAAATATTAATTGCCTCTGGTCTATTTTTTGGGAATCCTGCAACGTGTTTAAGTTTTTACTCTGCTAACTATACACTGGAATCTATTCTGGATCAATATTGAGTAGACTTTCAATGACAGTGTTGAATGGCCCTCTCCCTTTGTTCCGCAGAGCCCGCGTGGAATATGCCAGGGAGACCTTTGCCGCCATCGCCGTCCCGTCTTGGCGCTTCCCAGCTGCTCCCCGGCCCTCGTGTCGCCCACCCGCCGCCCTACCCCCTGTGTCCCCCAGTTTTACGACGACTCAGTCCTCGTTCCCAGCAACTGGGGGCCTTCTGAGCCTGTCTCTGGATTTCGCAGCTTTGAGGACCCCCACTTCCTGACGCCCCACATGGATGGTATGTCCTCAATCCAGCTCTTTCTCCCACCCTTCCCAGAACCCTTTGGGGTTCTGGCATCCACCCCACCCGAGGCGGACTTGACGCTAGACCTACCTGCCCTCACCACTGAATTTGGGCAGGGATGCAGAGCAGCTGGTGCAATTTTTGCCGCAGGCCAGGAAGGCAGGGTTCAGAAAAGGGCTGCCGAAACAGAATCGGGGTGATGGAGGGACTGAGGAAAGTTACAGCGTCTGGGGCTTTTTAGTTCCAGAGAAAAGGCAAGTGAGAGGCATGGACGTTCTTAAAGTTACCCATGGACCGAGAAAAGGTTTTTCCTCTCACTTTCCTGACATTGGAACTGGTGGGCGTGCAACGGAGGAGAGTGTTGGAAGATGTAGGAGAGGTTAAATAGAAAGGCCTTCCTTGCAGAGTGCACAGTTAATCTGCGCCCTCCCACAGTGATAGCCACCAACTTTAAAAGAAGACAGGGCATCAAAAAAGATGGAGTATGGGGAATTGGCAAGATTAACAGCAAAGGTTAGAGACCAAACAGGGCAAAAAAATGTCCTTGAGGACTTAAGAG